GAGCTGGGGACTTTTTGGAGGGGGATAGATGTTACGAAGAATGTGGGAACGTTTATAGGGAAGGAATTGTTTTACATGTTTTTTAACCAAAGAATTTGAAGAGCTGCCCTGCCTAGGAAGCCTGGTGGCTCTAGAGAGGTCAGAGCTATTTTCAGTGATACATAGGGGTGGGTGGGAGAGTAGTTCTTGCACTGGGGGTAAAGACCAGACTGCACTGCTCTCTAGACCTTTCTAGGTGGGGCCACCTCAGTCCAGTTCCATTCCTCATCAGTGAACTCACATTCCCCTCTGTGCCTCTCTCACTTCTGCTGCTCCAGTGTCAACCACCGGGGTCTGTGCTTTGCACCCTGAAGGTGCTGTGAGAGACTCCACTGGAATGTTGCAGGGATCTTGGACTAGTCATTTTCTAGAGAGGAACTATTGTTGCTCACTTGTTCAGTGTCCCACCTTTCTGGAGAGTGGCAGCATTGCACTCAAGAGAGGCTATTTTGCCTTCTTAACAGAAGGCAGTAAACAGGATGGTCAGATCCAAAATTTGCACACCCAGGTTCTGCTAGACCCAATTTAGCAGGCTCAGAGTGGAGGGGATAATTATTGAAAGTCAGTCAGTGAGGGACAGATACTCAATCTTGCCACTCAATCCCCTGATGCTTCCTGATTCCCTCACAAAAACCAACTACTTCTTCTTTCCATTTCTTTGCTACCTCCATTTTAAATCCTTCCAAGCATTAACAAATCTCTGAAATTCACTAGCACCTCTCACCCCTCCCTTCCCTAGAGAGGGACTTCCTTCTGCAGCTAAGACCAACCAGTGAGCTCTAAGATTCTTCTGATCTTTGCTGTCCCTCTGACTCAACCGAAGAAACCTTGGTAGCATAGTGGGCTGCTAACCACAAGGTCAGTAATTTGAAGCTCACAGGAGAAAAGATTCTTTGCTCCTGTAAAGATTGACAGCTTTGGGTCACTGTGAGTCAGAACGGACTCCATGGCACACACACACCCCCATCATGACTGTAATAAGGCTGGGCACCCCCTCATCTGTTAGCAGTGCTTTCTCTCTGGCTTGGCCACATGTTTTGAATAAACCATCATTCTCTAAACATATTCTAAAACTTCCTTGTTACACATCTACCTCACAATCTCACAGTTGAACAAGAGCACACACATCTAGTTTATTGTCCACTGCCCCTTTCATGAGGATTGGGAAACGGGGGCAGGGGGTGGGGAGGCTAGAGTTTATGATCCAATGCAGAAACTCTCTTGGTTGTTTATTACCAGAATGTCTTTTCTAGGACTTTTTAGCTCCTTTGTTAAGTGTTATTGAATTGGTTCTGCCTCTTAGCAACCCTGGTATAGTTTCTGAGGGGTGGCTGATGGGTTTGAACCACTTACCATGCAGTTAGCAGTCCAGTGCTTATTCAATTTCTCTAGCAGTGTGTAAACTTCCCAGTAGGCAGGGGTGTATAGACTGTGGATTTAACTAATATCCTCTAGGATATTAACTTGATGCTTGGGAGTCACCCCCAGGACCACCAAAATTGGAGCCGAAAATTAAAATGTAAGGTGTAACAGTTGGCCAGCACTATAGCTAACGAAGCACAGCTGTATGTAGTTCACTCTCCACCGTAACACAGACTGCACCAAGACAAAGCGTCCCACTTAGAGTAAAGTAAAAGCAAGTCCCCAACACTCTCCTGGTGTCTCCACATTGCCACGCACTTTTGGCCTTAAGGCACAGCTGAGCGCTCCGCTCCTGCACGCACTTATCACCTAGGACACAAAATGAGTTTAATTTATACTCAAACATGTTTTGTACATTTTTTCCTTTATTCAGAGGTTTCTAGTTTTATATTCTTTTCATGTCTATAGCTTGCTGCCCTTCCAGTTTATTCCTCCTTTTCTGCCCCTCAGTCTTCCTATGGTCCTTCCCTTAAATGTGGTAGAGTTACATTTTTGTCTTATTTCAACTTTTGTTTTGAAATAAAACATAGAAGTCTATTTCCTGATGTCTTATCCATGGATGGGAGGTGGGATATTGGTAATGGGTCCATATTTGATATCAGTGGCTTCTAAGGAAGCCAAGTTTACAAGATGATGGGAAGTAGGCACACCGAATTACCACTTTACCTCCAGCACATCAGCAAGACATCTATGCAGGAGCACAAAGAACTTGATTCTACCCATACATAGCAAGGTGTGAAACAGGGATCCTACTTCTGGATGCCTTCTGCACAGGAAAGGCCAAGTTTGAAGGCTTATTTGGGAGTATTGCTCCCCTGCCCAGGATCTCTTATACTAAACCAGTCATAACCATCCTAACATCCATTTCTCCTTTAGTCATGTGTGAGAACCGTGCTGAAAAGAAGATAAATACACAGAGTCTTTTGAATCTCTATCAAATGTGGTTTTTATTCAACTGACAAGCACTTTTCTACAGCTGCACTTGTGGAACATCACATGGCAAAAACGAGTTTTTTTTCCTCTAGACTTTTTTTTTCTTTTTAAACCTTATTAAAAATGAGATTGGTCCTAAAAATATAGAAAGAAATAAATTTAAATTCACAAAAAACTGTACATTATCAAAAAGTCACTAAAACACCACATTTGGTTATATAAAAAGTCAGTCCCTTTTGATGTAAAAGGAACAAGGAAACTTGGTGGTGGTGATGGTGTGGTTTTCCTCCTGTTACCAGACTGATAGGGGGAGGGAGTGGGTTCTTGTTTTTTTCTTTAACCTGCCTTACCTACCAAAATACTCTTATTTGTCAAGAAGAGAAAATCCACTTCACTCCAGGGCAGTGAAGATGAGGAAAGGAAAGTGAGAAGTGACCCCTCTATTAAAACCCCATTCAGCCCCACCCACCTCTGTAAGTGGAGGCTGGGACCCCACCCCACCTTAAAGAGTGCCTGGTCCCTAGGGAAAGAGATGGGAGCTGAGAGAGGAACACAAAGCAGGAAGAACATTTCCCTCCCCCATCCACCTCACCTCTGATAATGAAACTGATCCAGTACATTTTATACCAGGGGAAAACTGCCGTAGCGGAAAGAGGAGCCCCCATCTCTAACAGTGCCAAATACTTAACTAACACAAAGTTTGTTACAGCGCAGTTATTTAGATAAAATATAAATATTTATGCATAATATAAAGTCAATTCAAATATTCTTCAATCCACCTCTTATTTAAAAGCAAAAAAAAAAAAAAATCTCAAATAAAATTAAAAGTTTTGAGGTTTATCTGACAGAAAAGGCGACTTTTGTAATAGGCTATGGGGGAGAAGGAACATAAAGGAATTTGGGGGGCTGCCCCCCGCTTCAGTGGCTATTCAGTGCAGCCAGAAGTACAAGGAATGCTCCACCCTCACCTGGTGCCCCGTCCCCCACACCAACATTTCTGGATGCCTCAGCTCTGCTTGAGCCAGTCAGCAGCCACCTCCCCAGTGCAAGTACCCGTAATCTCTGATGGGAGGGTTCTGCTGAGCAGGAAAGCAGGGGGCCAGGAGGAGCCCATGGCTATAGCTGGGAGTTAGCAGCTTTCCTCTCACATGTTGGGGGTTTAACGTGGGCATAGTCACATGTAGGGCAGTGGTGGACCCAGACCCCTCCTCCCTACTCTCCTGTGCTGGCGAGGGGGGGGTTCGATGCTGTTGGGGAAGGAGTCCTGGGGTATGAAGTAGGGAAGGAAAGCACAGCTAAACCCACAGCAGCTCATGGGATTAGGAAAAGATCCAGTTCTACCCCTCCCCTGCCAAAGCTTAAGACTCTACACTACTGAGAGGAGAGAGGAAGTTCCTGCTGAAAGATTGCACAGTTTGAAGAGGCTGGAACAGAAATGACAAGGAAGGAAGAGAGAGACACAGACTTGTCCCCAGAGAAACTGTTCCTTGTGGTTTCCCAAAGACAAAAAATGGTTTGAAACAATGGGAAAAGAGGGAATAAAAACATACACTTAGGGAAACTGAATGGATCTCACCAAACAATACAGGGGGACAATCAACATTGTCTTTCACACACATCAAACATATATGACATACATACATACACACACACACACACACACACACACCTCTCTCTCTCTCAGACCAGTCATTGCTACCTGGCCTCCATCTTGGGGGTGTGCCCAAACTCAGCAGTAGTTGTCCCTGAGGAGTTCCCAAGAGGGAGGTTTGGATAAGAGGTGGGGGAGGAGGCTGGAAGGCTTAGGATGCCTCCCTACCCTCTTCCCAGCTACTGAGTTTCAGAAAAGGCTGGAAACTCAGCCCGTGAGGAGCATTATAGGGGAGAGAGCTATTGGCGCGAAGATGGAAAAGAGAAAGACACGGACTTTTTTTTTTTTCCCTCTGAAGTGGAAAAAAAATCTGGATGAAGAGAAAAGGAGGGAGGAACCCGTACGATAGTTTTACATTACTGGATGAAGCAAGATCTGAAAAAATGAGGTGGGAAGGAGAGAGAGAGAGCAAAAAAGCAGGAGAGGGACTGACATGGAAGCAGCATGTCCAGGGCCCGGTGTCCGGCTCGACACACTTGGGAGTTAAGTCCACTTTACTGGCCGTCACTGCGGGTCCGCACACAGTACAGAGTGTTTCTCGGTTTCACACATTCACTAGAACTATTGCTATTGTTAAATAGCCCCAGAATGCTGGGGCACAAACAGGGAAGGAGAAAGGAAGCTGGGAGGAGGAAACAGGGACATCTTTCTCCCTCCCAATTTTTTAATTAGGAAATAAAACAGAAAGGAAAAATTATTTTTTCTTTCTTTCTTTTTTTTTTTTTTGGCTTTCAGTCCAGAAGGACCTCATCTCTGCTCCTCTTATCTGAGAAGCAAGAGAGAAAAAGGGTGTGGGGAGAAGAGGATGTGGGGCACTGCCAAGGGTCAAGTAAAAATCATGGCATATCTGACTTTTGAGTCTGGACCCAAGGCAACATCAGCAGGTGAGAATGGCAGGTTTTCTTTTTCTTGTTTTCGAGGGAGGAGGGATGCTGCAGGGTGACTCCCCTTTGCCTCACAGATTGGCCTGTTTTCCCTGATAAAACTCCTCCCATCGGCTCTCAAAGAAGCGGCGCATGATGTGCCCAGCCTTGCCCACTTCTGAGTCATCTTCGTTGAAGGTCTGGCAGTTGTCAAAGACCAGAAGGGCATCAGCGGCAAACTCCTCCGAGCTGGTATACCTGGGGAGAAGTATAAGCTGAGCTGTGAGTTGTTGTCTAGTGCCACTGAGTCAGTTCCGGCTCAGAAGGAGCAGCTGGTGGGTTTGAACTGCCAACCTTGTTTGTGGTTTGCAGTCCAGTGCTGATCCTACAGCGCTATACCAGGAGGAGCTACAGAGAAAAGTCAAGGGAATTAGCCTGGTTACTTACCCTCCCCGGAGTAGTCGTTCCCGCATGGTAGAAAAATCCATTGGGTTTTTGATGATGCGCCGGTACCCGCTCACCAGCCTTGGGTTCACAGGCTCCAGAAAAGGCCACGCTGCATCATGGGACTCCATCTCCATAAGGATAATTCTATCATTAAAAGAACAGAGATGGTTGGACTTCAGAGAGCAAACACACTGATCCCCGGAGCCCTTTCTTCTGGCAAATACAGAGAGAGCTGTCCCCACAATTCACTCAACTCACTCGCAAAACGTGAGATCACTGTGATGGGTGCGCATAGAGAGTCGCCGCCGCTTGGATGGGGACAGCCCTTCTAAGCTTTCTTGGCCTCTTGACAATACCCGGCGGCGGCGGCCATCACCGTCAGGAAAGTTCAGCATATAACCACTTTTCCGTTTCTGGCCTCGCTTTGGGAAACTAGGCTGCTGAGTGAATTCTCCTTCTGCCTGCTGAGAATACGAAAAAGGTGAGATTACCAACAGTTGGAGTGGTGTTCTGCTGCTCTACAGTTTATTCACATCCCTGTCTGTCTAGGTGTGTTTGTTGTTAAGTGCCATCAAGTCATTTCTGTCTCAGCAACCTGGTATAACGTTTCCAAGGAGCGGCTGGTGAGTTTGAAACACTGACCTTGTGGTTTAAAACCACCCTGAGATCCAGTACTTATCCTACAGCACCAAGGCTTCCAAGGCTTTCATACTTATTCACATAACCCAATAAGGTACTTTAAATAAAGTTGAAGATACAATTACTCCCATTTTATGAAGGAAGTAATTAAAACAGTAGCACTTAAGTAACTTGTCAAGATAAGGACCAGGCCTCCTAACACCTGGAGCTCTGTCCAATGAGAGACTGAGGTCATGAACAGGAGCAATATTTGTAGGATTAGTGGTAAATGGAATGAATTAAGAAAGGCCTTCAATTTCTGCTGGGGAGAGAAAATGAGAGGGCAGAAACCTTACTTGGGCCAAACAGACAGCACAGAACCAATCCCCTTCTGGGACAGCCTCCATCTTGGGCCGATGGCAGTAAATGTGGCAGCCTCGGTCACACCCATCACAAAGCAGAAGAAATTCATCGTTGTCACCCTTCCGGCAGACTAGACAGGTCTGTACCAAGGTTGTGAGGAGACAGAGTGAGTTCTCAAGCCTCTGCCTGCCAATGACTCCACCCACCCTAGCTGACTGACCCCTCAGCCTTCCCAAGGCTCTCTCAGCCTCTCACCACTTTGTTGACAGACTTCTCCCAGGCAATGGACCTCTCCAGCTGACCCAGGCACAAGCACACCTGAGCTGCACTCCGGCACCTCTCAAGAGTCTGGCGCCAGGCCCGAATGCGAGGTGTGATCTCATACGATCTGGAGGGTAAAAACAGTGACCATCTTTGAACGAAGAGCAGAATCCATTAAAGAAGGAACTCAGTCCTCCCTAAGGCCAACACTGTGGTGGTGGTGGTGGGGTGTTACTTACATCTCTGTGGTGGTGCACTGGGGGGCACCATTAAGTGTACTGAGCAGGGCCTTCTCCAGCACAACCTCATGGGTGGGCCAGAGGGGCTCCCGCAGGTACCGTCGCTCAATATTCTGCTCCAGTGCAGCCAGCCGCATCACAGCCAGGTCCAGAGGGTTGGTAGTTTTACGCTGGGGTGCCAATCCTTCCCTGCCCCGACCTCGCCAGGTGATGTCCTCCTGGGAGTCAGTTAGATGCTCACAGTAGGCCAAGTCTTCACGGGTAGAGTCTGGGCTAGGACATGTCCAGCCCTGCAAATGGGAAGGGAAATCAAATCCCTCACTGGATAAAAGGTAAATTAGGAAGTGAAATAAGTAGGACTCATTTAAAGTGGGACCCAGGGTTTTGTCTAACAAGGTACATGGATAAATGGCTGCCATAGACAGACCCTCTAGTCCCAGGCCTTCTCAGCATACCCTAATCTGCAGATCAGAAAGGATGACTCGCTGTTCCAGCTCCTCAACCCACTGAAGCACGGCCAGGTCTGTCTCATATGTCTTCTCTTTGGGAGACCACCTCATAAGCCCTTCTTGAAAAGCAGGTAGCTGACTGGCCTCAAAGATGGGGTCTGGGAAAATAGAAGGCAGAGGAAAAGGCTCATTAGACTAGTAGCCATAGCAGCAACTCAACATTTACTTTGGGCTCCTGAGCTCAGGCTGGGTCCAGGAATATTATTTTACCAGTAGAGGGCCGTAGGCAGACTTCCTGCAAGAAGTCCCTGTGCTTGCTAAGGTGTTTGTGAAGTGCTTTTTCCCGGATGCCTCGGGGGTGCAGAGCCTTGAGTGTGGCATCCAATGTCTCTGGATCTTGGATCCACCACCAACCAGAGTGCATCTCTGTGAGCAGAGAGTATGTGTGTTGGGGTTGAAACCAGCTGTGAGTCACACTGCCCACATGTGATGCCACTCCCACCTATACTCGTATCCCAGCCCACCCCAAGATCACTCACCAGAGGGCACAGGCTGGGCTGTCAGCTGGGTTAAGTAATGCTGCTCCATTTGTTTGAAGAACTTACTGGGTGGTCTTCCTCTCCGTTTTGGCTGCCCCGTCCCTGTGGGACTCTGTGGCATTTCTCCAGGGTCTCCTACTCGCCTTTTAGGGGTTACCGCAGTTAAGGGGGTAGAGCAGAGTTGCAGTGGAAAGCAGGAATTGGCAGCACTGGGTCTAGTCACCTGTAAATGAGATTGGACACAAGGGGATGAGGTTGTTTTTATGTTCATAGAACCCTAGTGGCTCCAATCCTTCCCCCAACTTCAGGCATAAGCCCTAAGCCAAGCAATGGAGTCTGGAGCAAGATGAAGCTCAAGTGCATACAACTCATTCTAGCTACTTACTAACTTGGAAGAGGCAGGAAGCTGAGGGGAGGGAGTAGACCGGTCCTCAGAAATTGCAGGGGGTGGTGTAGGGGCAGCATTGCAGGGTATCTGGGCTGAGAAGTTAAGCCAAGGAGCTCGAGGATCAGGGTTCGATTCTGTTTCATCAGACTCTAGCTCCTCCAGGGGCTGGGATGGAGCTGGGTCCAGTTTTCCTGGGCTGCTATCAGGTGTGAGGACTGAGCTGCTCAACAGGGAGCCTTGGCTTTGAGTCTGGCTCAGCCATGACAAGAAGGCCGACTGGCTGAGGTCATGCTGGCTCTGTCCCAGAGACAAAGGGGAGTCTTCTGGCTCCAGGAACCCATTATGAGACTGGAGCTGAGGCTGGGGCTGCTGGGATTGGGGTTGGGGTTGAGGTTGGGGTTGAGGTTGGGGTTGGGGCTGGGGCTGGGGCTGGGGCTGGGCCTCAGGCTGTTCTGAATCCTGACTCTTGTCAGGGGACTTAAGGTGTTTAGGTCGTATAAACCCAGGCTTAGTTTTTCGAGGTCGGCCTCGAGCACGAGCAGGAGAAGCAGCAGAGGTCCTGGAGTCGGCCAATTCCTTCTTTACAAAGAGTGTTAACTTAGGTGCTGGATGCGCTGCCACCTTTAAGGAGTCAGTTTCCTGCTTTATCACATCCTCAGGAACTATAATGAGAAAGTAAAGAGATGAAGACATACCCTGATATCTAAGAGGAAAGAAAGAAATGTATAAACACAGGATAAGTACTTTGTTCTCCCCTTTTGAGATTCCACTAGGAACAGCTTACATGCCAATGAACACAGAATCTTGGGAAGAAACACTCTTGCCCCCAAGTAGTTATCATAATCATAAGCTAACATTTACTGAAAACCCACTATGTTGTTGTTAAGTACCATGGAGTCGGTTCCGACTCATAGTGATCTTGTACAGGGTTCCCGAGGCTGTAAATCTTTACGGGAGCAGAACACCACATCTTTCTCCTGCAGAACCGCTGGTAGTTTCGAACTGTTGACCTTGCGGTTGGCAGCCTGACTCATAACCACTATGCTACCAGAGTTCCAAAAACCTACTATATGTTAAGCATTATTCTAAAAACACGTACTTTTAGAATTTAAATACTCTCAACTACCCTATGAAGTATATATACTGCTATAATAACAAAAACATTCAGTAGCTAAATGGCAGAACAGGTAAATAACCTTTACACCAGAGCTAGTACTCTAATCACTATGCAATCCTGAATCTCATAAAATGAGAGCATCCTAAGGCTGGTATGGAGATTCTTGCTTAATTTTTATTAACCAAGACTTATAATTCAACTTCCCACAGATATACCTACCTAAACTCCCCTCTGTTCCTTCCACAAAGATACCAGTCAAATATGGCAGCACCCAATAGCGGCGTCTATAGCGGTCTTGACCCAAGGAAACAGCCCGAAGCATTTGGGATGAGTAAAGCAGTTTTTTGCGAAAGAAGAGCTGACGCTGGATGGGCAATGGAAAAGGAAGAGAAATAAAAGACATTATTTCTAGAGTATATAGGAGAAAGGCAATAGCTCTCAGCTTTCTTCACTGCAAATACCACCTGGGCCCAACTTCTTGAGCAACCCAGGTCTCCAGCTTCTAAGAGTAACAAAGCACATTACCTTGCTTAGTTTTTCTATCTGGCGCTCTAACTCTGGTATGGTGGATGCTGGGACATCATCCTGGAGAGGAAACACATGGACAACAAGAGATAAGTTAGCAGACTCTAGAAAGCCTGTAAGTCCGTCTTCTTCCTATAACTGATTAGAATACTTAAAATGGGGCTACAATGTGCCCAGTGAAGGAGGCTTCCTGTGTAGCCTTTGTAATACATTAAGACTATAGGTAGAAGCCTGAACCACATCCAGATCTCCAGAGATGGGAAATTTCCACCTGAAAGGACGAGCAGACCAGACTGGAGCAGCTAGAAGAACAGAAGATACTTCTTGAAAGAAAGACCTACATGGAGAAATGCAAAACAATAGAGGCAGATAGACTGTTACTATTATAAGAACAAACAAGTTGCTTGCCCAGGAAACATCAAGGGAAGTGGTCGGGTTCCCTCAGTGCAAACCCCCTTCCAAGACTAAGACTCAACGGAAATACAAGCTCTGATTGGTGACCACATTCATCACTGATAGGGGGAAGAGAGGTAAAAGCAGCAATGAAGCGACAAGCTAAGCCCTACAATGTTCGGTGGGCTTCTGTGGACCCGGGTGGAGACCTGGTTGGCCAGCAGTATGAGGAGACCCGAGGACTCTTGGGCCCAGAGCCAGTCGCGTGGCCACAGAGGACTAGAGTGGAGAGTGAAGCTACCAGCTGATAAGAAGAGAGGGCATATGCACAAGAATACCCATACTTGCAGATGGTACCCACTTGACCTGGCTTCGATGACTGGATGATCAAAGCACAACCAGGAGAAGAAAGAAGAGGAAAAAAAGAGTAATCTGATACAATTTGATGAACTTGACGTACACCTATGGATGCAGTAACTCAAAAGAGGGAACAAATCCTTACAGCAAAAATCTTCCCACCCCCTCCACACACAGAGTAGACAGAGATGAGCAACTTGGACACTGGATACCCAAAATGGAGGGGGGGGGGGGACTACAAAGGCAAGAACTAACTGGCTTATAAGCTTTCAAGAGGGAACCTAGAGCCAGGGGGCATGGAGGAAGGCACAATCTCCAGTGAGTACTATCCAATCTGTCTAGGCGGAGCTGATGAAATGAAACGCAGATGGGTCACTTGTGATACAATAGTGAGTAATTGTTATCAAGACTGATTGTGAGGGTTGGAAATGTAAAGGTAGACGTTTTATAGTAAGGAAGGGAGTTATTAACTCTCCAGTCTAGGAGTGGAGGTCTCTAGGACCATCAACGGAGAAGAGCCAAGAGTGGGACCCTACCCAGAGAAGCAGCGAGGCCCGAGATAGAGGCAGAGATGATGACGTGGAGTGATGAAATGACTAGGGACTTTGGATCCAGAAAGGGAGAGGGACAGTGTGCTGAACACTGGGGGTAGGGGGTGGGGGTAGGGGGCAGGCTTGCAGGGTATACCCTTTGGTTGGTTGATGATGCATGGAGGGGATTGGAACCATGGCAATGAAATGATATACGATAGAATGAATGTAAAACTAAAGTTCTCTCATGTAAACTATCATTTAATTCACAATAAAACATTAAAAAAAAAAGTTAGCAGAATCAAGAAAGGGAAACAATTCATTTCCTAACTTTCAAGTTTCTTGGAACTAGGCCAATACCTCTCCATCTCTTCGACCCCTACGACCACGGCCAGCTGCTACAGTCTCTTCCTCTTCCTCCTCTTCCATGCCACTAGTCTCCTCCACAATCCGGGAGCTGCGCCTCCGGCCCAGACCTTCCTCTGGCCCTTGCAGCTCTACTTCAGGCCGCCCAGTGCGCTTGGCCAGAGCAGTTTTCAATCTTGACACAGATGGGGAGAGATTAAAGGACACCATGGTGAGAAACCTGAGACTGCCACAAAAGAACACCTGACATCTAAAGCATCCTGAGTCCTGGCACGGTCCTAACACCAGCGAAGGCGCTAAGGGCATTCAGTTCCAGGCAAAAATCCTAGCTATTCTTCACCCTTTCCCCCTTTCTCTTATTTCTGAGCTGTACCTTCTGTCCCATCCTTACCTTCGGAGCCGGCCTTCAACAATCCACTTATTTTTCCTGTAGCTAGACATGCTCTCCAGGGTCTTGTCAATTTCACTGCAGTGGAATAGAGAAGGGGAATGAGATTTTGAAGTACAAAGGGGCTGCACAAAACAAAGGAAGGAAGGCTGAGGGATAATGGTGCTACAGCTGAATAGGGAGTCCAGAACCTAAACTGGATGAGCAGTAAAGAAATGTCTTCAGCTCTCCCAGGGATGGCATAGAGATTCAGTACTCTAGCATCTGCAGAGCATGGCACTAAACATACACCATCCCAGGGCTTCTGGATGGCGAGATTCCTCACCCATCACATTTGGGCTGGCTTTGAGACAGGTATGACACATGCATACATACATCCCCACCCCCTAACCCCTCACTTTATGATGAGGGTGGAGCCGTTGAGCTCATGCACAAGGAAGGCCAGGACAGCTGCCTTCTGTTGGGGTGGCTGGGCCTGAAAAGGCTGGGTACGCAGGCTGTCACAGAAACCAGGCTCCACTCCATAGGCCATGAGGAAGCAACGCAGGATCTCAGACACATTGTCTCTCGTCAGTGGGATCTCCGACACCTTCTCCCCCAAGATCTTTAAGGACTGTATGAAGAAAAGCATAATGGCAATGAGGGGGGAAAGAGGAACAACTCAAGTCTGATGAACCTGGAAGGGCAAAATACAGCCAAGAGAAAGCTAGGGAGTTAAGGTATGATAAGAATCAAAGTTGCTAGAAGAAGAAATAAGAGGCATGAAAGGAGTAAAAAATTAAAATAATGAGAAATGAACAAAATAAGCTGAAAGAGTCAGAAATAAAGAGGAAGAGAAGAGACAATATAAGAAAAACAAATGGGAAGAAGCTGCGTCTCCTTTCACTTGCACCAAACACTTTAGAGACTTTCAAATATTCTTTAAGATAAAACACAATTGAAGACAGCATATTGGCTCCCAGGACCATCTCAGCTCTCTAGGAAAGGGCCTCACCTGACAGTAGGAGGGCAAGCCAGGATCATAGAGTGCAGCCTTCAGGAGTCGTACCAGCAGGTCCTGCACCTCGCCCAAGCTGTCACCTTGACACAAGAGTCCCTCCTGCAGGACCCCCAGGCTAGGCACGTCTTTAGCAGGATCAAAGCCCAGCACCTTGCCGAAACTGTGCAGGAACTCCACAATGGTCAAGCAGTCTGAGAAGGCCCCACAGGGCAGTACCAGACCAGGAATGCGTGAGAAGTCAGGTAAAGGCTGTAGGGATAAAAGCAGTAGGGGAACCTGTCAAATATATTAGAAGTTATCAGTCTGGATTATCAATGAAGTTCTTCTTTTAATGGAAATGTCTTTACAACTGCCCCTGCCCCATCGCCATGACCCACACCTGTTACTTACTCCCCCTTCCCTACCTGGTGGTCAGCCAGACACATATCTTCTGTGGGCTTCTTCATCTCCTCCAAGATCATCTGCTGCCTCTGCCGTTCCTCCAATCGCCTCTGTGTGGCCAGAACCTTGTCCACTTTACAGACTGGTTTGGCTTTGGCCATCTCCTCCTTTTCCTTCATTTTTACCTTCTCCTTCTTTTCCTTCTTGATTTTTTCCTTCAGTTTTTCCTGCTTTGTTTTTACCTTCTCCTTCTCAGCCTACTCACCCATGGAAGAGAAGAAGCAAGAGACCCTTAACGATATCTGTCCCTTCCTTTCCCTGGTCTCAGGACCTCCCAACCTAAGAACCCACAAAAGGAGGTCATCTTTAAGACCTGAACCAAAAATACTCCTTGTCTGCCTTGAATATTGTGCTGTTTTAAAGAACTATATATATGAGATCAAATTGATAGTAACAATTTGGAAAGGTCAGCTAGAAAGCTTAAGGGACAGTAAGTTTATATTAATGAGAGAGGACTAATTTGAGAATGGTTATACAACTTGAAGAATGTAACCAGTATCACTTAACTGAACATGCAGACACTGGTGTAGGTCTTGCTGTGTACATTTTCAACAATAAAAAAATTAAATAAATTACTTAAAAAAAAAAAGAATCAATATGCAAGTGTCTCACAAATGCAGTTTGGTAACTTCAAGGTTATATGTGGTGAATGTGTATATGCACCTACCTTGGGTTTCTTCTTAGCTTCCTTCTGCTTTATGTTCTTGGTCTCTTGTTTCCGCTTGTTTCTGGCCTGTAAACCATAAAAGAAGTTACTTCTCCCCCTACCTTTGAAAGTATCTTTGCTTGGACAAGAGTGCTAGAGAGGAGAGGTGATAGATGGGATATGGAGTTGGCAACAGATCAATTCTCTCACCCAGGAGATGTTCACATTATTCTCAAAGAAGCCCAATTCTCTAAATCAGGGGTGGGGAACTTTTTTCTGCCAAAATTTGTAACATCACTCATGGCCACACAAAAGGATCAACTTAAAAATTAGTCTGTTATATCTGGTCTAACCATTTAATTAATTCACTCCTAATGTGATGGCTGCAAAGCCGTTTGAACTGCAAGGTCGTTGGTTCAAGCTCACCAGCCACTCCTTGGAAACCCTATACAGGGTCACTATGGTTCGGAACTGATTTGACAGCACTTAACAACAACAATGTGATGGCTGGAACTGTGGTTGCCTTGGCAGGGCCAGACTAAAAGATTTCTTGGGCCTTATACAGTACACAAGACAGATGTTCCCCACCCCTGCTCTAACTCAAGCCCAAGAGGCTTCAATGTACTATGTGCTGCTACATAAAGAGTGGCCGATGTGGAAAATGAAAGAAAAGATACAGCAGATTCTAGGGAAAGTTAGCCACTGTGAATCCTCTCTGATGCCACTCACCTGCCCTTGGATAGTCGCTTGACACTCTCCCCGCTGTACCTTTCTCTTCACCTTCTTCTTAATTTTACTCATCTTTGCTTTATCCTCCTCATTCGGGGTTTCTGTAAGGCCAGAAAGAAAAACAGTGACACAGAAGTCTAATCCCTGGCATTCAGGGTGGTACATGCTTGCCATACATAAAACCGTTCCCTCAAACAACTCCCCTGAACCCTGAAGAATCTAGTTATTTTTTTAAAAGAGTATACATAGAAAAACGTGTTATGTGTGTGTGACGGGCGGAGGGTGGAATGTAGGAGAGGTGCTTGCTGCAGGGTGGCACTAAGAACTTCAACTTTTTCTGGTCAGAAGCACTGGTCCCTGGAAGCAATCAGAATTCTCAAGGAGTCCTGCTGACGGAAAAGAGGCCATAATGGTTCTCTTAGGGCCTCTCTGGGAACACAGTAAGTGTAGGATAAGCCCTGGAATGCAAACCACAGGGTCAGTGGTTTGAGCCCACCAGAAGATCTAAAAGAAATGAGGTTTTCTGCTCTCACAAAGATTTACAATCATGGAAACCATATACAGGGTCACTGTAAGTCAGAACTGGCATTTAAGAACAACATAGCCTCTCTTTCTCCCAAGCTGACAAGGGCAGCAATCCTGAGGCTGATTTTTAAAAAGACAGAAAGCCAAACTGCCAGGGGAAGATGACAGTCTCCAGAATTGGAAGCACTATTTAAGTAAGAGTGCGCCTGCCAACATGCCCAATTTAATTGGTGTCACTGAGCTGTACATGTAAAAACGGTCGAATTGGCAAGTGCTGTGTTAGGTTTTTCTCCAGAAGGAAAAAAAAAGTGTGCCAGAAAGCAAATGCCTAGATAATGGGTATGTTAGCAGGGTTGGGCCACACTGACGTAGTTTTTATTCATGCTCAGTTCCCAAGTCTCATGCCACTATAAGATCTGAGTCTATGTCTTTCTGAAAGACTAAATATGTAAGTATAGTTTTCCAAACATTAGAATATTTAGAATTGATGTTTTTCAGATAATAGTACCTATGGCTATTCTTTTGTTTCTGGTATAGAAATATTAACAAAATTGTATATGTATGACACCTCTTGTGCCTTGTTTCAGGCCATACAATCAGTATCTAGCAGAGCTGGGACACCGAAATGGAACAGTGGCATCACTTGGGGGTTGTGAACTACATTAAGAGACACTGTCATAGGGATGACATCAAAATGACTATTTATAAAATTTTTATGCCGTATCTCAGCAGAAATGATTTAAAATAGAAATATCCCTATAGTTAGTTATAACAGGAAAAAAAAACATTTTCTGTAAGCCCAGCTTATATGTATCAGTGTACACACAAAGATAAAACTCTATGCTAATTTATTTTTTGAACCTTTCAGTGTGTTGTACAGTCAGAGCTATCACTGTTACCCAATCACAATGCTTAGAATCACATGATTTAATTTGCATGTGCTACTTGTTGTTAAATGCCATCACAGTGATTCTGTATAGGGTTTCCAAGGAATAGCCAGTGAGTTTGAACCACTGACCTTGAGATCAAGTGCTTATCCCACAGCGCCAATATTTGTGAACTTTATATCAATAACTTTTGAGAAAGAAGTAGTAATTAAAGGAAAAAACAAGACGTCTCAATTTCTAATAATGTAACAAATAATGTAATTCAGTACAGATTTTACTTAACAACTTTTTGTTAGTATTCATGTAATGTAGGAAATAATACATTTACAGCAATTTACAAGTATATTTATCACTTCTTATTCTAGAATTAAAACAGACAATAAACATTACTAAGGATTTAATTTGGTCTGGTGCAGCAGGAAGTCTATGGTGTGTGGGTGACACCATGAACTACCACAATGAGTGACACCAGTCCTAGTGACATCACTGAAATCTATCTATCCAGTCTTCTGGTGTGGGGCTGTGGATCAGCACTGGACTGTAAACCACAAGGTTGGTAGTTGTAACCCACCAGCTGCTCCTAGGAAACCCTACACAGTGTTGCTATGAGTTGGACTGATTCAACAGCATTTAACAGCAACAAAAAATCCATCTATCCCACTAAAACAGGGTCAAATATCTTTTGACTTCGGATATGAACTCTAAACCTTATGATGTTGATGTTGCTATGAACAAGTCAGTTCCAACTCACAGCAACCCTGTATAGGGTTTGGGAGGAGCGGCTAGTGGGTTTGAACTGCCAACCTTGCGATTATCAGTCCAGTGCTTATCCTACAGTGCTACATCAGGACTCCATGATGGCGATAGTAAGAGTTATACAGCTGAGGAATAGCAATGCTAAGCAAATAGCAATGTTGCTATTGTTAAGTGCCATCAAGTCAGTTCTGATTCATAGTGAACCTGTATAGGAGTGACTGGTGGGTTTGAAAAATCAACCTTGTGGTTAACTATCCAGTGCTTATCCTACAGCATCACACCAGAACTCTCAAGTAGCTATAAAATGAGGAAAAAGAATATGAAAGCCTTCTCTGGGCTACATAACCAAATCTGGGACCAATAGCTCCAACAGTAAGAGAAATTCAAGAAAGAAACATCGAAAAGAACATGAAAAGTTTGAGAACCCAATGCTGCAATCTAGGAAGACTCGCTCTGTCTAGATAATGTCAGTCACACTCTTGGGAAACCCAAATATTAGCAATTCATCAGTAGCTCATATACTGAGGGAGTAGAAAGTCAAAGATACATCACTGTACCTTGGGCTTCTAGTTTCTTTAGAAGTCGGTTGTCTGGCTTATCCAATAGCTCAGTGATTTTGACCTTGGGTGGCCGACCTCGGCCCCGTTTCACCTTGGGGACATCCTTGGTCTTGGCCTTCTCAGTGTTTCGGGGTCGGCCCCGCTTGCCAGTAATTGCCTGAATCCTGGATGGGATTTCTTCTGCTGAGAGCTGTACCCACTGCACACCCTAAGGTAATGAGGAATCAGTGTTACAATGGGAAGGAATCTGTGCATACTACTAAGTCCTCAGAAACATTCAAAGCCCTCAAACCTCCAAACCCCACAAAAGGAAACTGCAGCTTGTCCACTGATTCTGTCACTGGGACAAATGCATAATTATCCCCTGGGTTTGTACCTCTGGCGTGTCTCTCTCTTCAAAGAAATCTCCAACAGGCATGCGGGGACTGAAGCTGAAGTGTTCACGGCGGACACTGTGTCCGACGTTGCGGCTCAGGTACTAAGAGGAGGAAAAGAGGCATAAATGAAGTGGTCCCATCATGCCTTTGGCCAGCAATGGCACAAGCAGAACAGAGCCTAGAGTGAACAATACCAGCCTGCTGACATTGGGCCTAAGAAAGGCATCTGTGTTTCCCTTAAAAAGCCCAGTAAAGCTACGTTACCTTGATCACTTCCGGGAACTGTTTCATCCTCTTTCCACACGGGCCATAATACCAGGTTTCCCCCTGCCATCGGTGGCTGCCTTTCTTGATGCGCACCTCTCTCCGCCACCTGCCAGAGAAGCAAACGGGCCCTGCCGCCAGGTCACACCTCCACCCATTCCCATGCCACCCAGGAGCCAAACCCATTAAACAAGATGACCCTCCCCTCCCCACTTCTCACTAGAACTGCATGTAGTGGAAAAAGCAGCATAAAACATGAGCTTGGCTAGAACACAGGCTGGAAGAAAGCAATACACTAAAATGAACAAGCCCAGAAACCCCTCCCTGCTGCCATTCAGAGAAATTATTAGTCCCATAAAGAACATGAAGCCTTAAGGGAATAAAGGCAAAGAGACAAGAAGGTAGGGAGGCAAGCAGAAGAGTAAATTTGCTACTGATTCCAAGAAATGACTCTGTAGGCCAGGGTTTAGCTAGGAACGCTGTGTTCTGAACAATTATTATAAGACTAAGCCTTATCTTTCCCTCAAAACTTGAAGCAGTACTCAGACTTGGTGACCAAAGTCACATTGAAGGGTGGCAGTGGGGAATACTCTGCAAAGTAGTTAGTCCTACAAAGCCCTTGGTGCCAGCTGGCTATTCATTCTGGTGGTCATGTACTGTTTCAGCCATACCCCTCCAAAGACTGCAACAACAGCAGCATTAACAACAAAAATCCAGCTCACTGGTACTATGCGAATCCTCATTTACTGCTATCCCTCCTTCCCACAGATAAAATAAGCCACTTAGTTTGTACATGCCAGTCCTAGGGTCACCAGCTGGATTTGGAAAAGGTACTAATTACTAGAGCCCCTTGAGCAAAAGTGAGTCATTGCACGATGAAGACAGAAATAATGAAGGGAGGGAGCCAGATCATGAGAAAGGAAAAGGAAAGCCAAGGAACCTCTTACCAAGAAATACTGTCATTAGGACACTGTCCTTTTATCTATTCGTCTAGACTATTTCTTCCTCATTTTGGACAAGGAGAAGAGTACCCTTCTTCCTAGAGTCATGCATTAAACTTATCAAGATCAATGCATGTAGCAAACTCGAGCATTTACCCATGCTGAAGGGGAAGACGAACTTCTTCTGGGGTAGCAATACGTCTCCTTAGACCATCACCTTGGGAGGAAAACAAGAGGATAGATATCCAAGTTGAGTTCAATCAAAACACTGAAATAACAGGCCAATAGGGAAGGATAAGCACTGAACTGCTAACCTCAAGCTAACCTCAAGGTAGGCGGTTCAAATACACCAGCCACTCCTTGGAAACCCTACACAGGGTCACTAGTAGGAACTGGCTCGACAGCACTTAACAACAACCAGGAAAGGGCTAAATGCAACATGGCACAGTAGAACACAATCTGAACACTCACCACTTCCAGCAGTGATTCCTTCTCCAATGTTATCTTCCAGATCAGCAGTGTTTTCAGGGAAGCTACTGACATCCTTACTTGTTGGGGAGGCTGTTGGCAAGGCAGCTTCTGGGGAAGTTGCAGGGGAGGCTTTTGGGGAGTTCATTGGGGAGGCAGGCATGGAGACTTCTGAGAAAACTGCTGGGAGGGCTGAGGATGCTGGAGAGACTGCCGAGAAGACTACTGGGGAGATTTCAGTAGAGGCTGCCGGAGAGTCTGCTGGGGAAACTTCTGGGGAAATTTCCGGGGACTCTGTTGGTGATATTGCTGGTGAGGTTGCTGGGTGGAGGTGAATAGTAGGTGGCTGGTCAGGGACTGAGGGGAAGTCAGGAGCTTGAGTCTCCATATCTTCCTGTTCTGTATCACTACCATTATTCAGATCAAAGCTGTTATCTGGAAAGGCACAGGATGGGTACAGGAAAAATCTTATCATTCAAAACAAGAGAATCTACTCAGTCCAACATGGACTAAACTAAAAAGGGTTACTTCAAGGGCTTTTCTCTAAGGTTGGAAAAAGAAAAATAATGCCTGCTTTCCTCTCCAAGCATTCAAGACGGTGAAAGGATAAAGCTGTTGCTGTCACTATATGAAGAAATGTCTTTTTACCTGGAACCAGAAAGGTCTCTGGTCTCCTTTCTCCTGCAAACTCTAAGTCTCATAAGTCTTTTGGGCATATGACAGAGTACACAGAATTATGAACATATGACTATGGACAACTTCCACTTGCCCTTTAATGTTATGTAGATTTGCACTCACTCTGAAATGCACTCATGTTAAAGCAACCCCTACTCTCAACAAATTTATCACAACCACCTTCACTTGCTGCTTGTGCAGCTTTTCAATCACTGAAAAGCCTTCAAGCTTTTTCTTACCCAAACCAAATAACCCCAAAACCCATAGCCTTTTAAGTCGAATCCAACTCACAGTGACCCTAAAGGACAGAGCAGAACTGCTCCACAGGGCTTCCACGATCGTAAATCTTTATAGACACAGACAGCCTTATCTTTCTTTCTCCCACGGAGCAGTTGGTGGGTTCAAACTGCCAACCTTTTGGTTTGCAGTCAAATGCTTAACCCCCTATGCTGACAGGACTTCTTTCTTGCGCTAAAGTAAGGCTAAATAAGAACCATGTGCACCTGTTCTGACTTACCTACACACTCTTAAAAGATACACTTAGGAACAGATCTCATCTGTATCCTAGGGACTGCCTGTACAGTTAGTGAGTTGCACCTTTTTTCAGTCCCACCACATACTATCTCACATCCCCCTCTGCTCCCGCAAGGTGCTCTTAAAAGATTTCCTACCTGGAGGGCCTAACTAAGTTTTTTCTTAGGTCAAGTGCTTTCTTTGTCCCATGTATCCTTACTTACCTTGCAGGACAGACTCTCCTAAGACAGGTGGAGAGGTTGGGCTGGCAAAGATAGAGGCCGAAGTTTGACTATCATCTGCCAGGAGACTGAAGGCAGTGGCGTTATTGAGTGAAGGGCAATCAAGGGCCGAGATCACAGGACTGTCCCCCAGAGGCAGCTTGTCCTCTCCTCCCATCAGCTCGGTATCATCATCTATACCATAGAGTCCTCCACTCACTGGCTCTGTACATGGTGGCAGGAAAAAAAAAAATCAAAAGCACGGTATTAAAGAAAAAACAGAATGCAAAATCCCTTAAGGAATATTGGTCTGAAAATATCTAATTCAAATTCCTATAGTGTGATGGTTCTTTCTACTATTAAATTATGGAAATCTTATAGTCCTCTCCCTGAAAGTAAAACCACATACTATAGGGATTATTAAAGCTTGAGATGGAAGTATAGGAAAAGGAACTCACCCTCTACAAACTCACAGACCAATGCAAAATTCTAGTACTATAAAACAGACCTCATATAAAACACAATTCAGTGGGGTAAAAGGTAACTGTTCACTGGTAAATGTTTTTTTTCTAGTTAGTAAGAACCCAAATAGCCCAACTATGTGGTAATAAGTCCTTCTCCAATGAATAATTACAGGCCAGGGCTCTTGGCCAAGAGGAACATTGGGAGAGAACCTGGGAAAGGAACCAATTCAGCTCAGAGTGCAATTGGCTCACATAGGCCAGTGGCATGTCACTGGGATCTGCCACAAGAGGTCTCAATGTCCCAAATTCCCTAGTACTTTCCCTGGTTTACTAACTCTTCCTGGTACCCTCTGCATGGATAAGTCAGAGGAATCCAGTCTTCTCTAAGCCTACCTGGTGCTAGAGAGTTGAAGGGTTCCAGAGAATCTTCACTGAGGATTGGAGTGTCTTCCAGTTGATCAGGAAGGTGTGAAGGAACATCTAAACAGCTCACTGAAGGGTCAGGGACCAGGACTGAGACTTCTTGGTGCAAAGTTTCCACAGAAGGGATGGACCCATTATAGCCACATATCTTCAGTTCTGGGAAATCCCAGAAGAGGGCAAAAGTCAAAATCAGTGCCTTCAAGTGGTTCATTTAGCTATAGTAGGTAGCCAGTCTTTGCTAGAGGCATGGTCATTCAACAGTTATTGCTGCCAAGGTATAAGTTCTATACTGATCATACCAAGATACTCTAAATGAGCAGAGATATGCTGGTAAAATCCTACAGCAGGCAAAGAGAGGGGAAAGGAGAGTGGGGTCTGAGACAAGAGCTCTAACATGTTCTCAGATAACTCCCCCATCCAGTGGGAACAGACGATAAATAGAGGAAACACCCTATGATTTTACAAGGTGATTAGCCTTGTACTTGGAATCAATTTCAAACTAAGCTTTTATGTATTTTGAGGGAAAAGATGAGCAGGACTGTCACATGTATCAATGCTCAACAACAACAGAGAAGGGAATCTGTGAGTAGATAAGCAATGGTGTATGTTTTGCCTGCTTCCTTTCCTCCTTCACTGCCTAGTTCAGCAGCCAGTCTGACCCTGCCACAATCATTCAAAATCACCTCAGTGCCCACTGCTAGTGCCCCAGCCCCCACCTATATTTTGGAAAAAGCCCTCTTTAATGCAGGGTATCTGTTGGGGCTGTTTCGGGCTCGCCCACCTGCCCTCTCCAGGCCAGCAGCTCTGCATGAGCTTGAAATAATTTGCACTCCCACTCGCGAGCTGGTGCTGCTGCCACAAAAACACCAGCCACTTGGCTCTGCTAATCACCAACATGCAAATCAGCCTCCACTGCAGAGAGCTGGAAAGACAAGTTTTCCTCACCTCAAAAAGCCACTGTCCCCATAGCCCCATTTTCCCTTTCCCCACCCAACTCACAAACCCCAAGTTATACCTGGTTGCTCTTCTTCCAGCTCCAGGCTGCCTACCAAGCCAGTGCCATTCTCTGCCACCACTGAAGTCAGCTCCTTTTCTCCTGTCTCATCCGAATGGATACCACTGCCTACCTCCTGGGAGGGTGCAAAGGTCTGGATGCTGGATCCCAACATAGGTGAAGACTGTGGGGAGGTGAAAAAACTGGGGGGTCCATTGGGCATCACCTCAAAATTCTGGTCAGGAAAGGAATCATACAGTTCCTGTGAGTCGAAATTAAGCCCCATGGGACTCTGGGTACCGTTGGCCCAGAACTCTTGGCTCCCAGCCCGAAGATTAGTGTTGTGACTTGGGGATGAAGGTTGTCGGCTGCCCCCAAGGATGCCGTTGAGTGGGTATTGTCCCCCAGAGAACTGGGAGAGAAGGGGTGGGTCCTTGAGGTTGCTGCCAGGATTGGCAGATGGATATTGTGAATAGTTCCAGAGACAGTCATAGGCCACGTTGGGGTGATGGAGGTGTGAGGTGCTGGAGGAATGGGGAGCAGAGTTCAAAATCCCTGAAGTAGTAGTGTGAGATACAGTAGATAAGCCATTAACATTCACATCCCCATTCAAACCTGGCAGAGGAGGGAAAAGAGTCAGTTACAGATATGTATGCAAGTAACGCTACCAATAGAACCCCCAAAGTAACAGCACTGACTAGAGAAAGGGAAGGTGAAGGGGAGGAGGATTCCCCATCTGCTATATTTGGCTTTTCAGTCTCCAGGGAACACCAAACCTAAATGCTCCTGGATGTAAGCTTAGCAACTGCTGCTGAGGCTACAGAATAGGGGGTTGGGGACTACCATGGGAGCCCCCAGCAAAGAGGTGATTGCTGCTTAGGCTCAGAGGTTTTTTTAAATAAAGCTATTTGCAGACTCCCTACAGTAATGTGCATTCTTCCCCACCCTCAGTCCCTAGAGGAACTCTTTCAGGGGCAGCAGAGAATGAATTCTCCAGGTCCTCCTTTTCCCTAGTGTCTGTTTGGCCCAGCAGTGGCACCAGAAGGGACAGCCTCCACCTCCCTGGCACATGCAGATCCAGCACTTTGTGTTGGGCTAAGAATAGAAATTTGTAGTCACCACAGCGACCAGATCCCAGCTCAGGAGGCTGGGCTGGGCCCCTCCCCATAAGCAATAGAGGGGAATTTGCAGGGGGGTAGCAGGGATATCTTGTGCATGACCAGTGCTTCAAACTTCAGCTTTCAACACCAATAGCAACCTCTAGGTTGGAAGACAATCAAATAAAAGGAACTAGGATACTAAGGAAGCTGGGGTGGGGTGAGGGAGGAGCAGAACACCAATGAAATAAAGCTGCTTCTACCTCTCTACAGTTCCCCTGTAGAAGACAGGAGGGGGGAAGTGGTATGCCTGTGGCAGTATTTTTCTGCTGCAAAGAAGAAGGAATGTATGTGGGCTTCCCCTATCTACTTCCAAGCATAAAGTGCCTGAACACTAAGCAACATTAGAAAGGTACTTGGCAGAGCCATGGTACAGAGCAACTGACAAGCCAAATCTAGGAAAAAACCTGATCCTGGCAGCAATACTTCCATGTGGAATTATAAATGTTTCTCTCTGAGGAACTAGGTAAGCACTAAAACCCTCCCCCTCCCTGACCCCACTTTCTATCCTCAAGGACAAGAGGTGGCACAGGCACTTCCAGCATCTGCCTTCTTCTGTTCCACAAACAAACTAAAAGGCAAACATGCCAACTTTCACCCAAACCAACCCCCACCCCCAGTCCTAGCCCACTGAGGAGCTCCAAACTCCAATAACAATAGATTCTTGGAGGGCAGGGCCTTTATGTTTCTCTTTCATGGATCTAATCTGGTTATCAGCAGCAGTATCTTTGTCAGCACTTTGGCAGTAGCCAAGGAGCAAGGCTGATGGAAGAGCAGGCCAAGATTAAAAAGTGATTTTTCTAACCACTAAACCTTAAGTCAAGACTAAAAGCGTTGCTTCCAGACACATCTCGAATTTGTTCTTAGAAGCTTGATTTCTTTCCAGCAGATGGGAGTTTCATGGGTTCACTTCCCCCCACCCCCTACCCTTCTCAGGAAAGAGAGTTGTTGTAAATCCATAGGGGAGCCAAAACTCCTCCTTATCAAACTGCTCTAAAGGAAAACATGCCCAGTCCCCTCCCCAAGCCATGGCCCTCACACTCACTTTTCCCTTGCTGGGGGAAGTTCATGGGAGACCCGTTAGTGTAGAGGCCCTCCCCTGAAGTAGGAGAGGGTTTCAGTCCTGAGGCAGCAGGTGCAGAGGGAAGGCCAGTAAAGTTAAAATGGTCATTTGCCTCCATTTCTGTAGAAGAGGAGAGAGGGGAGGGGGGAATACTGGCGGTTAAACATGGTCAAGTCATCTGAATCTTCTGGAAGAAATTCCCCCATTCCTCCACCTACTTATCCTTCATTATCTAAGTATGGAAAGGGAAGAGATTTGAGGAAAGAGGAGGAAATGTCCCTAAGCAATATTGTTGTTGTTAAGTACTGTCAAAGTGGGTTCCGATTCATAGCAACCCTGCATAGGGTTTCTGAGGGGTGGGTTTGAATCACTGACCTTGCAGTTCAAACCGACCTTGCAATCCAGTGCATTATCCTGTAGCACCACACCCTAAGCAATGTTGTTGTTAAAAATCCGTGGAGTCAGTTCCAACCCATAGCTACCCTGTACAGGGTTTCCAAGGAACAATTGGTGAGCTTGAACTGCCAACCTTGTGGTTCAAACCGACTTTGCAGTCCAGTCCATTAACCCACAGTGCCACACCAGAAATCCAGTCCTATAGAAATAAGTCTCTTAAAGCCAGCCTGGCCCTTGTGGAGTTAAAGTTAGTGAAAAAAACCAAGATGCAAGTGTGGAGGGAGGACCCATCCCTCTATCGCTACTTAAACCTTTCCCACACCACCCCAAGTTACCCCTATATGTCAGACATTAGCACTGTACTGTAACAATTAACATTACACATCCTCTCTGTCTCTCTTTTTAAAGTAAGGCTTAAGTCCCACTCCTGGGGACCACTGAAGATTCTCAACACATCTTTTTGACGAGAAGCCATTGAGAGAGAGGAAAAGTATATGTAATATGAGGGGGCATCAAAAAGTTAATGGAAAAATGGAATTAAAAGATAATGAAATTTTTCCAGCACTTTTTGAAGCTCCCTTGTATACACCTTGCTTTCTTTTGTTATTATATATATATCACGAGCTGATAACTAATTCTTATCCCTAGACATTTGAAGAGAGTACAATTACAACATTAGTGAAGGAGTTTGAAAAGAATGCATTTCAGAAAAAGTGACCAAAATGGAAAAACCCAAATCATCCAGTAACACTTCTACTCCTTATTCATGTTCTCTAAGAACAAAGCTCAGAAAAATCTCAAGTGGAAAACAATTAAATAAGAGGATATCCCAAAAACTATTGTTTTGTCTACTACAGTACTTTCTGATGATCGGTTTTATGGTTAAGATGTAAATTCTCGTGGAGAAAATTTTGTTATTGTTAGGTACCATCGAGTTGGTACCAACTCATAGTGACCCTATGCACAACAGAACATAACACTGCCTGGTCCTGCACCAACCACACTATCGTCGCTACATTTGAGCCCATTGCTGCTGCCACTGTGCCAATTCATCTCGTTAGGGGTCTTCCTCTTTTTCTCCGAATCTCCACTTTACCAAACACGATATCCTTCTCCAGGAACTGCTTCCTCCTGACAATATGTCACAAGTGTGAGAGACAAAGTCTGGCCATCCTGGCTTTAAAGGAGCATTTTAGCTGTATTTCTTCCAACACAGATTTGTTCTTTTGGTTATCCATGGTACTTTTAATATTCTCTTCCAACACCATAACTCAAATGCATCAATTCTTTTCCGGTCTTCCTTATTCATTGTCCAACTATCACATGCATATGAGGTTATTGAAAATACCAGGGCTTGAGTCAGGGACACCTTAGTCCTCAGACTGACATCTTTGCTCTTCAACACTTTAAAGATGTCTTGTACATCAGATTTGCCTAATGCAATACACGTTGCTTGATTCCTTGACTGCTACTTCCATGAGTGTTGATGGTGTACCTGAGCAAAATGAAATCTTTGACAACTTCAATCTTTTCTCCATTTATATGGATCTTTATTGGTCCAGATTATTGGAGAAAACAATACTATACAAAAGTTATGTTTGTAAGGTGCTGCAGCTCTCTGAGGGATGACATGGTTAAAAGGCTTTCACCCTCTCCTAACATAAGCTGTCATACTACTAAGAATGATAAATGAAGTCTTTAATGAGAATAAATTTAAACTCTGATAGTACATAGAGAAGAGGGAAGATAAGAAGCCAGAATTATTGGTAAAGTCCAATATATCAGATATTTGTGATAAGCTAATATATAACTTGATATGTAAGAGGCATGATCTGTCTTGATACAGGAAAAGCAACTCCTTGGGTTACTAGGATTTTAAAGGGGGAGGGGGCAGCAACAGAATCAGATTTAAAAGTTTCTTTATCAGTCTCCCAAAAGAGACAATAAAAGCACACCTAGGTGATATTAAAAAAAAGGAGGGCAGTTTTATTTTGTAGCTTTAGGTAAAAAAGTTTTTCAGATAGATTATCTCTCACATAGGATTTCTCATTTCACTCTAAACTACCTACACATCAATGGAGAAAGCAATCTCTACAGACAAAATTCAGAGGTCCTTCCAGAATTTCCCTATAGTTTTTAGAGCTACTCCTCAGCTGTAAAGAGTCTCACAAAACTCCTAAAATGAATAATCTTTCTAAAATGAAAGATCTGAAGCAGGAAGGCTGGTTATATCTCCGTTAGGGTCCCTCTAAAGCTTACGTCACAGATCAAAGAGGACATTCAGTAGTTCATTTCAGAAGTCCTGGAAAGCCAGTTTCATCTGATTGCCCCACACACCCCCCTCCCTGAGACCTGTTTTTACATGAAGCCACACCTCCCAAGCTCAGTCACTCACTTTCACACCAGCTTCCCAATTCTGTGCAATCAACTACATACTCCTACTCGATAGGCCACAGTTCATTTTTCCATTCTCTATTTGAATCCATGAGGAAAGGAGTGGCCTTCTCCTCTCTGCTGCTCTAGGGAAGAACAGCATGTCCTGTTTCACACACTACATACTAATAAGATGTTGTTAAGTGCCATCAAGTTGAGTCGCTTCCAACCCATAGTGACGCTCTATAGGGTTTCCAGGCACACAGAAACCAGGTAAGTAAAAGGAATGGGAAATTACCCGGTGCTTGAGGTCTGTTGATCTGTTTCCCCACCAGCTGCTACTAAAGGGTCATCAGGACCACATCACTTCATTGATAAGATGCTTCCTAAACACATAAAATACACACCAGGAGTCCTGGTTGGAGATTTCAAACTCACCAGCCGTTACTCGGAAACCCTATATATAGGGTTGCTATGAGTTGGATCCGACTCGATGGCATGCCATGCAGTGAGGTCAGCACAATGTAGTGAGCTCCAGGTTAGAATGCCATCTGTACTACTTACTAGCTGTGTGACCTTGAACAAATTGCTGAACCTTGATAAAACTCAGTTTCATGATTTGTAAAAATTTTAATACTTACTTCATGGGCTTATTAGGATGAAATGAGATAATCTATATAAAGAACACAGCATTGTCTTGTCTTGTTAACCATTATTACTGGACAGTTGTTGTTGAGTGCTGCTGAGTTGGCTCCTACTCATAGCAATCCTGTCTAGAGTTTCTGAGGAGCAGCTGGTGGGTTTGAACTGCTGAATCACCAAACTTGTGTTCTGCAGTCCAATATAAAAGGCTGCTTAATTTTATAAAATATAATCAAATCCAAAAAAAGCCTAGATATAATGTTTTGTTGTTGTTACATGCTATCAAATTGGTTCTGACTCATAAAGACCCTCTCTACAGACTTCCTGAGGAGCTGCTGATGGGTTTGAACCATCAGTCTTGGGGTTAGTAGTCCAGGGCTTATCCTATAGTGCCACACCAGGAGTCTAGATACAGTAGCATAGTGGAATATGAGCTGGGCTGTTAACAAAGGTCAGCAATTTGAATCTACCAGTCACTCAATAGGAGAAAAAAACGACTTCCTGCTTCCATAAAGACTGATAGCCTCAGAAACATTATACAAGGGCACTATGAGTGGGAACCCACTTGGTGGCACCCAACCACCATCATCACCATTACCATCACCACCACCACCAGTATGGGGGAGTCCTAGTGTGACACAGAGGCTAAGAACTGAATCGCAAGGTCAGTTTGAACCACAAGGTGGCAGTTAATCCCACCAGGTGCTCTTGTGGAACCCTATGTTGTTATTAAGTGCCAATGAGTCAACTCTGACCCATAGCGACCCTGTACAGAGTATCGAGGAGTAGCTGGTGAGCTTAAACCGCTAACCTTGCAGTTCAAATGGTTTGCAGTCTGGCGCATTAACCCACAGCGCCACAGCAGGACTCCCTGAAACCGTATACAAAGTGGCTATGAGCTAGAACCTACTAACAACAACCAGTATGGGAAACACTACAAAACTAGGGATGGTCCAGACTTTATTGCAATTTGACTCCTAATTTCTTATGTCACACAAATGAGATCACAGTTGGGAATGCAAAGAAAATGTGAACAGTTCCTCTCAATAATAAACCTAGGGTTATTTCATTTTCAACTTCCTACCCAAGATGCTTTTCACAATAAGGCTTGAAAGAAAAATTTGCCATACCACTCAGAGTCAGTAAACAGAATAGTAAATCAAAGGAGGGTATCTCTTTTTGAACTAACAGGATTTTGGCCAAATGAATAAAGAAATCAAAATCAGTCAGTTCCCAACTCTGAAAAATAGACAGCTCTCATGACCAAGAAGTACAATCAGGTAAGTATACCCAGCCCACTCCCAGTTGGATTTCTTAAGAGCCCAGATGTTTCACTAATAAGAATTAAGGGATATTACCCCTTAAGCTTGTAGCAGCAAAGCCCTACCACATAGCCAAATAGGCTCCTTTCTTTCAATCACAAAGAGTGACTACTCTGTGAAGCCGTGACACGGTTTTAACAGAAAAAAGCTGACAATGCACAGTGTTGAAATAAATATTACAGATTTCAATGCTGTTGCATGTGTTCTGATCAACCCTAATCCTCCAGCCAGTGAGGGCTACCCCGAGAAAGTGAAAAAACAATAAAAGCCTCACCTGGGCATTTTATTTTATTTTGGTAGTCCTTGTAGCATTTTGGCTCATTTTTCCCACACCCAAACCCACTGTCAAAAAGTCACTCCAACTCATAGTGACCCTATAGAA